TGCGCCCCGCTGAGCGTCGCCCGAGCTTCCTCTCCGTCTCCCCACAGGACTGCCAGTTTGCCCTGGGGGGCAAGGGCCAGAGCCCAGACCTGCAGGTGAGGGGCCGGCAGCTCAGCCAGCAGCTCAGGGCCCATCTCTGCTAGTGTGGGGGGGTTTATACCAGGGTATCTGTGGGGTCCCGGTCCTACTCTGTTGGGAGTCTCTCAGTCTGGTGGCTGCCCTGAGCCCTGTCTCCCACCTGGCAGATGCTGGCCGTGTACTCCCTGCTGCCCTTTGACAACCAGGATGGCGGTGTGTGGAAGCAGGGCTTTGATATCACCTATGAGCCCAATGAGTGGGACGCTGAGCCCTTGCAGGTGTTTGTGGTGCCGCACTCCCACAACGACCCCGGTGAGCAGCGGGCGAAGGCGGGCAAGGGAGGGGAAGGGCTAGCTCAGCCTCTGCCGCCCCACACTGCTGGTGGGGAAGGGCTGGGCCCTGCGCAGTGACCTTCTACGTGTGCTGGCAGGCTGGATCAAGACCTTTGACAAGTACTACTATGACCAGACGCAGCACATCCTCAACAGCATGGTGCTGAAGATGCAGGAGGACCCGCGCCGGCGCTTCATCTGGTCCGAGATCTCCTTCTTTTCCAAGTGGTGGGACAACATCAGTGCCCAGAAGCGGGCTGCGGTGCGGAGGTAGGGCTGTCCGCCTGGCCCCGCTGCCCAGCACCCCCCCTGCCCGCAGGCAGGGCGCTGCGGGAAGCGCCGGCTGGGATCATGGGGTGCGTGAGGGAAGGGCCCTGGGGAGACAAAGGCTGCCCTGGCTGCAGTGCAGGGGCTGTGGGCTCCACACTGCTCACCGTGGGGTGCCCTGGCACTGCCAGCAACCTCTCAGTGCCACGAGACGTCAAAACCACAGCAGTGTGGAGTGAGAGCCAAGGGTGCTGCCAGCACTGAGGCCTCCGCAGCGGGGGCCTGAGGGGCTGAGGGAGGCAGGTCTCGCCCTGCGCTGCTCCCTGTGCTCACGGGGCTGGGAACTCCCTCTCATCACTGTAACAGTGAGCGGTGCCGCAGAGCCGGACTGGTGCCAGTGCCTCGCAAGGCCCAGGGCACCCTCAGGAGGGTGGGAGACCTGGAGAGCAGCATTGTGTGGTGGGAGAGGGCCCCCTTGTCAGCCCCCCTGACCCGGGAGGGCTGGGGGTGGAGGGCAGAAGGAACATGGGCTGCAGGACGCAGTGGAAGGCGTTGGCCTGTGTGGGGGTGGGCTCTGGTTGGGGTCTCAGCCAGCGTGGTGCTGTGGAGGGGTGTCTGTCCGCGTGGGGACAGTGCGGGCAGTGGGGCATGGCAGCCAGGGGTTGCGGAGGCTGCGGGTGGGACTCAGGTGGCTCCAAGGTGGGGGAGGCTCTGCCATGGACACAGGGCTTGACACAAGGCTCTGCCCGGACCTGATCACGTCTCATGTGTCCCCCTTGCAGGCTGGTTGGCAACGGGCAGCTGGAGATGGTGACTGGTGGCTGGGTGATGCCCGACGAGGCCAATTCCCACTACTTCGCCATGATTGACCAGCTGATTGAGGGGCACCAGTGGCTGGAGAAAAACATTGGTGAGAGCTGGGCAGGATGCCGGGCAGGAGGGGCAGGGTGCTGGCTGGGGGCCTGCGGCAGCAGGCACCCCTGTCCCTGGCAGGAGCCTGCTCACGGGAGGTGCTGCTGGGCCCAGAGCGGGGCTGACGGGTCTCTGTGCCCCCAGGTGTGACGCCCCGGTCGGGCTGGGCCGTCGACCCCTTTGGGTACAGCTCCACCATGCCCTACCTGCTGAAGCGCTCCAACCTGACAGGCATGCTCATCCAGCGCGTGCACTACTCCATCAAGAAGCACTTTGCTGCTACCCAGAACCTGGAGTTCATGTGGAGACAGACATGGGGTGAGGGGCTGGTGGGAGGTGACCGCAGAGGGGCCCTTGCTGGGGTGGGGGGCAGCAGGGAACAGCTACCGACCGCTTTGCTGTGCGGATGGTGAGCTGAGCACCGGGAGGTGATGTCTCTGCCCTGCAGTGGCTTTGCCCTGTGGCACAGCCCCAGGGTGACTCCCCAGCTGCCTCCGTGCCCAGCACTCTGGGGGAGGCTGCTGTGCTCTCTGGGGTCCACGCAGGTCCGAGCCTGTGTGCCAGGACTGCTCCGCCATCCCTGCGCCCATGGGACTGTGGGTTCCCCTGCTTGGGCATAGGCAAGGGAGAGCCATTGCTGGTGCTCATCTGTCCTTGGTCCCGCAGATCCAGATGCTAGCACCGATATCTTCTGCCACATGATGCCCTTCTACAGCTACGATGTGCCCCACACCTGTGGGCCAGACCCCAAGATCTGCTGCCAGTTCGACTTCAAGCGCCTGCCAGGTGGCCGGATCAACTGCCCGTGGAAGGTGCCTCCCCGAGCCATCACCGATGCCAATGTGGCGGAGCGGTGAGTGCTGCCGGGGCAGGGGCAAGTGGCTCTGAGCCTCACAGCCCTGTCTGGGAGCCAACCTCACACCCTGCCCCCGCCACGGCAGAGCCCAGCTGCTGCTGGACCAGTACCGCAAGAAATCCAAGCTGTACCGCAGCAAGGTGCTGCTGGTGCCCCTGGGAGATGATTTCCGCTATGACAAGCCACAGGAGTGGGATGCCCAGTTCCTCAACTACCAGCGCATCTTCGACTTCCTCAACTCCCAGCCCAACCTCCACGTCCAGGTATGTGCAGGGAGGTCTGGGGTAGCGCAGCGGGCTCGGGGGAGCAGGACCCCACAGGCGGAGGTTGTGGGAAGGCCACCCGCAGTGCCCAGCTGGAGGGTGGACAGTGCTGGGAGGGGTGGTGGGAGCCCTGGGCTGCAGGAGCCACAGCAGCTCCCGTTGCACTCAGTGCTGCCCATGCCGTCCCTGCAGGCGCAGTTTGGGACGCTCTCTGACTACTTTGATGCCCTGTACAAGAAGATGGGCATTGTGCCGGGGATGAAGCCGCCTGGGTTCCCAGTGCTGACTGGGGATTTCTTCTCCTACGCGGACCGGGAGGATCACTACTGGACAGGCTACTACACCTCCCGGCCTTTCTACAAGAGCCTGGACCGGGTGCTGGAGGCCCACCTCCGGTGAGGGGAAGCGGGTCGGGTCCCGGGGCAGGGGTTGTATGCAGGGGACAAGGGCAAGGGTTTGCCAGGCAGCACCCGGGAGCCCCGTCAGTCCCCTGGTCTGCGCCCAGCCACCAACGCCCTGGGGGTGGCCCATGCACAGCCCAGGCAGTGCCAAGCCCTCGCCCAGCTCCAGGGCAGCGTGTGTCCCCCAACCTGACTGGGTCCCCCTGATGCCAGGCTCCTGTGCGTGGAGCGCGCTGGCTGGGCGCTGTTGGTGCGAGGGCAGGCTGGGTTGCCTGCTCCTCCTCTGCCCTCTGCCCTGGCACTGCTTGTCCCGGAGCGTTGGGGCACTGGAGCAGGGACCCTCGGTGACTCTGTCCCTGCACAGGGGGGCAGAGATCCTGTACAGCCTGGCGCTCGCCCATGCCCGCCGCGCTGGTGCTGATGGCAGGTACCCACTCTCCGACTACTCCCTGCTGAGCAACGCCCGCCGCAACTTGGGCCTCTTCCAGCACCATGACGCCATCGCTGGCACCGCCAAGGAGGCCGTGGCGGTTGACTATGGAGTCCGGTGCGTGCAAGGGGCTGGGGTGCAGCCCTGGGGGACCTGTCTCGGACGGGAGTTGGTGGGCAACAGGCTGGGAGCGTGGTTGGGTGTGGGGGTCCCATGCGCCCCCTCTCCTGGGGGGGATGTTGGAGGAGTGCTGGGACAGAATGGGGAGATGATCCCAGGCGCCTCACTCTGCCTGTGCCCCAGGCTGCTGCACTCCCTCACGAACCTCAAGCGCGTCATCATCAACGCTGCGCATTACCTTGTGCTGGGGGACAGGGATGCCTATCGCCACGACCCTGCTGCACCCTTCCTCAGCACGGTGAGCAGCACCTCTCTCCGTGGCTCCCCGCACCCCAGATGCCCCATGCCTCCAGGGAGCACAGCCCTGCCTGCCGGCTCGGTGCTGGCTGGGGGCTCGGGGACAGAGCCCCA